CCTCTTCTCACTCTGCATCACATCACCAGACAAGTCCTTCCTCCCCTGTCCTTCCCTGCCAGGCCCTTCTCACCAGAAGGCCGGCATGGGGGCTGTGGGCCCCTCCTCTACAGAGCTGGCTCTCCTCACACCAGCTGATCTGGCCTGTCCCAGCCCTGAACTCCCACCCCATGTCCTTTACACATTTCCGTGGCACTTGCCACACTCTGCCTGGCGTTGTGGTGTCGGAGCACCTGTAATTGACTCCATACTGAGCCAGGCATCCTGAGTGCAGAATCCAGGCCATTTCCACTGGTTCACATTCAGCACCTGGCAGACACCCCTGCGTTTGTAAGTGCTCAATGGATTGAATGTAACTACAAAAAACAGTCAAACAGGTATTGAGTATTAAATATGTTAGCAGTGAGTAAAAGTACCTTTACCCTACAGAGTGGGTGGAAAGATTATCTAAGCCAGTTTCCCGTGGACTGTACCCTCAGATAGCATATATTTAGCACCAAAGTGCCCATGTCACTCAAAGCGGGCCACCAAAACCACATACTGTGGTCTCTAATGTTCTGGAACTTAAAATATAAAACAGAACCGGATGCCACTTTTCAGGGCTATTACAAGGCAAATCCCAATACTACAAGCTCTAAAAGATCATAAAATAGACCCCAACAAAGATCAAGTAGACATGTTGTTATGATCTAATCTTACTTGTGGCTTTACTGGCAAACTTTATAAATTTTAAGGATGTTGTTGGCAGGGGAGATGGACTGAATCTTTGGAGATGCTGTAAGATGAAAAACCTACGAGAGAGTAAGGAGAAATGTACAACGGAAATGAGGAAAGAATGGGCAAAACGGGGCCTTGGGTGACGTGTTGGTGGCATGACTCTCTAGTCTGTGCCTGAAGTCCTTCCTCCTGGTGTCTGTCTTTACTCAGGCTGTGGCAGATCCCAAAGGTAACAGGGTGATCTGAGGCATCTGGGGAGCGAGCAGGCTGCTAGGGCAATATTGGTGGCCTGCCCCCTTATGAGGTTATTCCTGTTCTGAAGAGCTTGAAAAAGGCAGGCCTGCTTATCCAAAGGAGTAACACCAGAAAGCGTTTCCTTTCCTGCCAGTTTCTGTGGCTCTCAATCCCTGCTAAATGAGATGCCTCCAAATCTCAACTAATGATTAGAACATAGTAGTTTCTCAATAAAATACTTTTGAACTGATGAAAGTCATGTATGATTGCTTGTGGCTTCAGTTCCCATTCTTGCCACATTAAGTTGTGTTTTGTACAATTAAGAATAAGATTTATTTTGCTTTCAAGATTGTTACATGCCATGACATGAGGGTTGGCTTTATGATGGAGGAGTTCCAACAGGAGTTCCAGATGTCCTGCTACATGCCTGCCAAAAGAGAAATATGAGTGGACAAAACATCGCTCATTTTACCTTAAGAAAAAAAAACGGCCATCATGCTGCAGGGCACAAGTGACAGACAATAAAATAGCAATTGCAATGGAGCTGTTAGGTTGGGGTTTTGCTGGGGCACAGAGGGAAACACATTTACAGCTAGTCAACAGGGGCTGATGGAAAGGTTCCTACAGGAAATGCAAAGAAGAGAAAAGAATGGAACATCAACAGTGAGTAATATCTACTTTTTAAATAATGAATGATTAAGGCAAAGTAGAATAATTACAAGGTCTAGCTTTCTTTCTTTCTTTGCTTTTATTGTTGTTACACCTTGCCTGAGGATGATTTTTCCATTGATTTTTAGAGAGAGTGGAAAGGAGGGAGGGAGGAGAGAGAGAGAAAGAGAGAGAGAGAGAGAGAGAGATGTGAGAGAGACACATTGATTGGTTGCCTCCTAGAGGCACCCAGACAGGGGGCTGGGAATCAAAACCTTGACCTTCGATTTGTAGGCCAACACTCTGCCACTGAGCTACACAGCCAGGGCAACAAGGTCTAGCTTTCTGAAGCTTTGTAGACACACACACACACACACACACACACACACACCCTACAACAGGCCTCAAATAGTCAGATGCACTGGGTATATTAATAGAATAGTAAGAGAAGGAGATATACTAGGAATATTGAGCTCATATTAAACTTCAACCTCTGCCTAAATACATGTTCTTACTAAAAGGTTCGTATCAAGTATTTATGTTCCTCCATGTTGATGAAGCTCCTTGACCATCCTTATTACCTGCTTCATGACGGGAGCTGAATTTAGCATAAGACGCTGCCATTTTCGTATGGGGATGTCATGGGGAGCAAGAGCAAATTAGAATCTGACCAGGGGAACAGTCACTGCTGGACCTTTAGCTGTTTATTTTTGCACATTCCTCCTATCCACCACCTCATAACTCATCTTCGTCCCCCTACTCCGACACTTTTGACACAAAGCAGAACCAGCAGAAATGAACAGAAGGTTGCGAAGGAAACGGGCCGAGGAGAGGCTCGGAAGGATGGGCCAGGCAGGACGGTCAGAGCAGCAGCAGGCTTTATTTCGTCCAGAGGTGGGGCAGCTGAGAGGGGCTGCATAACAGTTTCAAAACAGGCAGGGGGAATATTGTCTACATGCAAGGGAACCAGAAAGGCAGGTTTAACTTCCAAGAGGAGTTAGATTAGACCAAATAAAGGTTAACCTAGCTTCCAGAAGTCTCTGACAAAAGGTGGGCAATGGGTTCTGGCCATGATGCTACAGTGAGAGGCGGCTCACCTGTGAGAGGACACTTGCTCATATATTTATTTGAAAAGCACTTCATCAAAAATGATCATTTGAAGATGAAAGGTAATATGAGGTACTCCATACACACACACACACACACACACACACACACACACACACACACACACAATAACGGAATATTCCTCACTGGGAACCTCTCTCCACAGGTCTGGCCACTACGTCACAATGGCCTTCTAAGAGAACAGAGAAGGGCTACTTTACGGAAAAAAGTAATTAAAATAGTTTAACATTAAAAAGGTTTACTAATGCTTGTTTTTTCACCATTATAGCTTCGTTCCCTTGGAACTTTAAAGTTCCTATTTGAAATGTGAACACCTTTAGGTTAGAGATAACAGTATTCCATAAGCCTATCAGTAAGTAAATAGTAGTTGGTTATTCTAGTTGTCCTGGGAATCTTTAGTTCTGAATTATTTGGACATCTCAGACACACTGGCCAGGACTTGTGTTGTCCAGGACCCCAGGCCTGCTGTGCAGGCACTTAGGAGTTCACTGGGGTGAACTTTCCTTTCTGGGTTACTTAGGTACCAGGATGTAAGGTCCAAAAACAAAATTAAAAGGCAAACAACATGTTTGGAAAATGTGTGCAATTAACAAAGGTTAATTGCCTTGTGACAAAAGTTAAATACCTTAAAATAAAAAGGGTTACTGCAAATCAATGAAAGCTGAATACAATAGAAAGTCAGCAACAACAACAAACAAAAATATACAACAAAAATGTACAATTCATAAGGGAAGAAATACAACATGATTCAAAAGCAAAGAAAAACAATTTAAATCACAAGTAATGAAAGAAATGCAAAATAAAACAACGATGAGATACTATTTCACTTACTAAGTTAACAAATATTTTGTTCTGTTTTATTAATGATAAAAGTCAGTATTGTCAGAAGTTATGGAAAATGGACCTCTTTTATACTATTGGTAGGAGTGAAGTTGGCACAGCCTTTCTGGAGAGAAATTTGGGATGTTTATCTGTGGCCCTTTAACCCAGCATTCCTCAGTATGTACATCACAGGGAACTTGTTAAATAAACTATGTTACATCCACATGTCACTATTAAAAATGATGTTGTAGAAGAAATATTCTGTATCATTGATTAAAAATTAGATTACAAAATAACATGTTCAATATATATATAAGTTTTGATAAAAAATATATAAAGGCCCGAAGAACCAGATTCTTTGTGATATAAAATTACTAAGTTTGAAATTTATTTAATGTCCATGAATGTGGCTACTTACCAGCCCAGCTGTTGTGACTCTGGTTGAGCATCAACCTATGAACCAGGAGGTCATGGTTCGAGTCCCACATTGTGGGTTCAGTCCCCAGTAGGGAGAGTGCAGGAGGCAGCTGATCCATGATTCTCTCTCATCATTGATGTTTCTATCTCTCTCTACTCTTCCTTCCTCTCTGAAATAAATAAAAATATATTTTTAAAAAAGATCACTGGTTTCTACCTGATGGTCTTAAAAACAATAAAAAATCTAACAAATAATTTTCTTAGCAGTAATTTAGTTTGTTCTATGAAAATTAATTAAACTCCTCCTGTGAGCCAGGCACTATTCTAGGTGAGAGATATAGAAGTGACTAAGAAAAATTGTATTCTTTATGTCCCTTTTGGTAAAGAACCTCGATGTAAATAAGTAAAACATACATAAATAAGAGAATGATAAGTTCATAAAGAAAATAAAATAGGTTACTGTGATAGAAACTGTCAACAGGTCAGGGGACAACACTAGATATGGTGACTGATCTGATGAATTATATTTGAGTTGAGACCAGAATTGGGAGAAGGATTGAGCCACATGAGAACATTCCAGGTAGGAAGGAGAGCAAAGGCCCTGAGGTGGGAACAAGATGGAATATGTAAGGAACAGAAACAAGTTCAGTGTGGTGAGAATCTGTGTATGAAAGAAAGCAAGAGGTGGGTAAGAAATGAGGTCAGAGAATTAGGCAGATGTGGGGAACCGATATAGGCTTAAGCCTTGGACTGACCTGTTGGCAAAGTCACAAAAAAGTCCCAGCTTAGAGGGCACAGTCCTCTTAGCATAATTAGGCTTGACCTTATAACACTCCCTAGATCTTATCTGGGAAGCTAATGGGCTGAGGGAAGTGCAGGAAGTGTAACCATGGTCAAAACAAGTGAAACTCACAAGACCTGTGTAACTATGGTAACCACTACCTTGTTTACCTCTGACTATAAAGGTTGATGCAGCCTGAGCAGCGGTGGAAGTCTTTCCTCTTGAGTTGGACTTACCTGCCTGGCCCCCAATATTCCCAAATTTTCTCTTGTCTTTTCTCTTTCATTTGTGTGCGGCTCCTCTTCCAGATCCTGAACCCTGAACCACGCGGGAGGTGGAGGGAAACATTTACGACATCTGGCGCCCGTCGGGAAATCTGGAAGTGAAGGTTTCGCTAGAGCGGAAAAAACAAAGTTTCACCGGCAAGGTGGGGAACAAAGAATTCACCATAAAGGTAGGAAAATTCACCGTAAAGGTGGGGGGTTATTTCACCACACACAAAAGCCCACAATTAGCTGCAGAAGTCCGGATCTGTAAGCAGGGTGGGAACGTTTTTCTTAACCAGGCTAATGGGGCAGGATTTGGCTTTAAAAAAGTAATTCGGCTTTAAAAAAGTAAGAAACTTTATTATAGACTTTTGATTTGCATGCTTAAGGAGTTAAAGTTTCAGAAGGTAATCTCTTATAATTTTTGCTTGATGTTATAGAACATAACCCTTGTTTTCTTGAAAAAGGTACATTAGATCTTGAATGTTTGCCAAAAAGTTAGTCAGAACTTTAAAAAAAAAAAAAAAAAAGTCAGCTGCAGGGAAAAAACTTGTCTCCAAAAACTGTTTTCCTTGTGAAACATGGTGTTTCATTTGCTAGAGCCTTTAAGAGAGGCCAAGGAGGATAAATCTCCTCCCCTTGCACCCTCTGCTCCTTAAGAGGAGCAGAAAGAAAAGAAAAAATGGGAGGAATGGCCTTCATGGCTCCCTCCACTTCCATGTCCTAATCCTGAAATGTTTAATTCTCTGTTAATAGAATCACCTGTGCAAAAGGGCCAAATTATAAAGAAATTGGAATATTAAAAGGTACTCTTTTAAATCAGGTTGAAACAAGAGTGCCATAGTCATCTTAATGTGGTTTCTTGTCCAAATTAAAATCTTAATTTATATTTGGAATCTAAAATCTGTAATAAGAAATGAAACCCCGCTGCCGAATCCGCCTCTGGTGTGGAGAGGTTCAAAGGTGGTAGGAGAGGGCAGAGCTGTAAGCTCTCCCTCAATGAGATTACTTAATGTTTTGTTTAAAAATTACCGGAGAACATCTTATGATAACCAAATTTTGGCTAAGATAACCTTGGGAGCTAGCCATAACTTTGGAAAGCGAAATGGGAAAAAATTTAAAATGTCTTTTTCTATTAAGCATGACTTTGGGAAAAATACGCCATCTGAGTCATTTGCTGAAACTTCCCCCAAAGTAGGATGTGGGGGAAGAGAAGAAGGGAGCACATGGTGATCCAATATGGACGCCCCCTCCCCAAGTATTCTAATTTAAAGTCTCCTTCTCGTAATTGAAAAGTTTTACAAAATTTAAAAATGCATCTGGGATTTCTGTGCACGTCTAAAGAGAAAAGCTGGCTTAAAACTAATGCGTGCAACTGTCCTGTTTTTGGACATTTAGATAGAGTTTTGAGCTGGAATCTCTTTGCAAATGTACAAAATAAAACCTAAGACTGGTTATTTCCTAAGAAAAATGACGAATTTGACCCAGGGAAGAAATGCAGGCTGGTTCTAGCAACAAGATTGGTATTTTTCCATAATAAAGTGATTTTTGAAATGTTAATGAAGCCTGTTCCAAAGTTAACTTTAAGACCTCCAAAAGAAAATTCAGTAAGATTGTCTCTGTTACAAAAATTTGCCAAAGTAAATGCCTTAAAATAATAATTGGATTTGAATCTCAAGAATTATTGAGATATATTAATTATAAAAATCTAAGTAGCCCTGTAAAAAAAAAAAATGGCCCTTTGTTAATTAAAAAAGCTAGCTACGCCTTTCTCTTTTTTTTATTGTTTTATTGCTTAAAGTACTACAAAGGGTATTACATATGTGTCCTTTTTTTTTCCCGCCCTTGACAATCCCCTGGCCTCCCCTAGCCCCCAGTGTCTTATGTCCATTGGTTATGCTTATATGCATGCATACAAGTCCTTTGGTTGATCTCTTATCCCCCTCCCTTCTGCCCCCCAACCCTCCTTTGGCCTTCCCGCTGCAGTTTGACAATCAGTTTGAGGCAGCTCTGCCTCTGTATCTATTATTGTTCATAAGTTTATAATGGTCTTTATTATCCATGAATGAGTGAGATCATGCGGTATTTTTCCTTCATTGACTGGCTTATTTCACTTAGCATAATGCTCTCCAGTTCCATCCATGCCGTTGCAAATGGTAAGAGTTCCTTCTTTTTTACAGCAGCATAGTATTCCATCGTGTAGATGTACCACAGTTTTCTAGTCCATTCATCTACTGATGGGCACTTAGGCTGTTTCCAGATCTTAGCTATGGTGAATTGTGCTGCTATGAACATACGGGTGCACATATCCTTTCTGATTGGTGTTTCTGGTTTCTTAGGATATATTCCTAGAAGTGGGATCACAGGGTCAAATGGGAGTTCCATTTTCAGTTTTTTGAGGAAACTCCATACTGTCTTCCATAGTGGCTGCACCAGTCTGCATTCCCACCATCAGTGCATGAGTGTTCCTTTTTCACCACATCCTCTCCAGCACTTGTCGTTTGTTGATTTGTTGATGATAGCCATTCTGACAGGTGTGAGATGGTACCTCATTGTTGTTTTGATTTGCATCTCTCGGATGATTAGTGACTTTGAGCATGTTTTCATATGTCTCTTGGCTTTCTGAATGTCCTCTTTTGAAAGGTGTCTATTTAGATCCTTTGCCCATTTTTTGATTGGATTGTTTATCTTCTTTTTGTGAAGTTGTATGAGCTCCCTATAAATTTTGGAGATTAGGCCCTTATCAGATATGACATTGGCAAATATGTTTTCCCACGCAGTGGGCTTTCTTGTTGTTTTGTTGATGGTTTTTTTTGCTGTGCAGAAGCTTTTTATTTTGATGTAGTCCCATTTGTTCATTTTCTCTTTAGTTTCAAGTGCCCTAGGAGCTGTATCAGTGAAGAAATTGCTTCGGCATATGCCTGAGATTTTGTTGCCTTTGGATTCTTCTAGAATTTTTATGATTTCCCGTCGTACATTTAAGTCCTTTATCCATTTTGAGTTTATTTTTGTGTATGGTGTAAGTTGGTGGTCTAGTTTCATTTTCTTGCATATATCTGTCCAATTTTCCCAACTCCATTTATTGAAGAGACTATCTTGGCTCCATTGTATGTTCTTGCCTCCTTTGTCAAATATTAATTGAGCATATTGGTTCAGGCCGATTTCTGGGCTCTCTATTCTATTCCATTGATCTATATGCCTATTCTTGTGCCAGTACCAGGCAGTTTTGAGAACAGTGGCTTTGTAATACAGCTTGATATCTGGTATTGAGATCCCACTTACTTTGTTCTTTCTCAGGATCGCTGCAGCTATTCGGAGTCTTTTTTTATTCCAGATGAATTTTTGGATAGCTCGTTCTAGATCTGTGAAGTATGCTGTTGGTATTTTAATGGGAAGTGTGTTGAATTTATAGATTGCTTTGGGTAGTATGGACATTTTAATGATGTTGAGTCTACCAATCCATGAACACGGTATGTTCTTCCATCTGTTTATGTCTTCCTCTATCTCTTTTTTCAACGTCCTGTAGTTTTCTGAGTAGTGGTCTTTTACCTCTTTAGTTAAGTTTATTCCTAGGTATCTTAATTTTTTTTGGTGCGATGGTAAATGGGATTGTTTTTATAATCTCTCTTTCTGAAAGTTCACTATTGGTGTATAGAAATGCGTCAGATTTCTTGGGGTTAATTTTGTATCCTGCTACATTGCCAAATTCATGTATTAAGTCTAGTAGTTTTTTGATGGAGTCTTTAGGGTTTTGTATGTATAATATCATGTCGTCTGCAAATAAGGACAGTTTTACTTCCTTTTTTCCAATTTGGATGCCTTTTATTTCTTCTTCTTGTCTAATTGCAATGGCTAATACTTCCAGGAAGTGTAACTATGGTCAAAACAAGTGAAATTCACAAGAACTGTGTAACTATGGTAACCACTACCTTGTTTACTTCTGATTATAAAAGGTTGATGCGGCCTGAGCACCAGTGGAAGTCTTTTCTCTTGAGTTGGACTTACCAGCCTGGCCCCCCGATATTCCCAAATTATCTCGTGTCTTTTCTCTTTCATTTGTGTGCGGCTCCTCTTCCAGATCCTGAACCCTGAGCCACGCGGGAGGTGGAGGGAAACATTTACGACAGGCAGAGGCCAAAACACTTTTAGGCCAGGTTGAATTTTATCCTGGGGCAATGGGCAGCCATTGGAGAACTTTATTGATAATTTGATAAAATGGATTTTTTTTTTAAGGATAAAAAATAAAAACTAAACTTTTGGCAATATACAGTTAATAAGTTAACCTCACATATGTGATTTCATTAAAAAAAAACACAACTTTTTGGAGTAGGTATTATTTATTCTCATCATAGATCCGCTACAGACGCTCAGGGAAGTTGAGGGACTTGGCCACGGCCATCCAGCTAGTGGGTGGCATGACTGAAACAAGAACCTGGGGCTCCAGCGTCCCAGGTAAATTACTAGGAATGAAAATAAAAAATAGTCTACAATGCTGAACGTTAGTTAGTGGGTATGGTGCTGAAATGGATGTGTTACCCTTACCATATGAGTCAATTGAATGAAGAAATTAACTATCCTGTCATCACTTCCCCCTAATACGGGCTTTTAAGGAAGTAACTACGGACCTTGGTCTATGTCACTCCATGGGATTGCACCAGGACTGGAAAAGGTGGGACTTTGGTTGTAACTCTGGGCACTTTCACTTCAGATCCCTTTTTGAAGATGGGCCTAAGCCTCTCTTTTGAAAGAGCCACTCAGCCCACCTCCCTGGGTACACAGCTGTAAGAGGACTGCGCACTTATTCCAAAACAGAGAGACTGCCTCAAGACCGGCCGTTGGGCCCAGCAATGTCCTGTCAGCCTGGGCAGAAACACTGGTTTTGGATGTCATCTGCTCTTTACCATTCGGTCTTTGTTTGATTAAGCTGAGGCCTAGCAGCGGAGCCTTTCCCAGCTGCTGCTGAAGCCACGCTGCATCTCTCTGCTCCGTAACTGGTGTTACAACAGCCACTCGCTGGTGCTTCTCTCCGTGTGGGGCACTGGAATCTTTCTCCTCTCCCAGTCCATCCTCAGCTCTCCTTGGCTCGTCACTTGGGCAGCTGCAAGCTGGGGAAGCAGCCTGTTCTCATTCAGTGGTCTCTGTTTCATCTCTGAGTTCCCCAAATGCTGTTCTTGGTTTGCTAGACTTTCCCTGGCCATCCTACACTTCCATATCCTTGGTGCAGTCATATACTCTTCTGTAGGGACCTTCCTACACATAGCTCTCAGGGATCTGAGTTCAGCCTTCTTAAATAAGCAGGCAACTGATATGAGGTATCTAGAGTAGTGTAAAATTCATAGAGACAGAACGTAGAATGGTAGTTCCAGAGGCTGGGCAGAGGGGGAGTGGGGGGAGCTGTTATTTAATGGGGACAGAGTTTCAGTTTTGCAAGATGAAAATTCTGGAGATCTGTTGCATAACAATGTGAATATACTTAACACTGATGAACTGTATGTTTAAAAATAATTAAGCTAGTAACTTTTATACTATGTCTTTTTTTTAAACCACAATTTAAAAATCCACAGTTAAGTGGTGAGCCTGGTCTGCCCATAGTCTGCCATTCCCTGCTCTTCCAGGCTGTCCACTCAAACATGGAGCTCTGCTTCCTTGTGTGGCGGCTTGGCCTCTCCTTTGGTGCAGGGGCAAACTGAGAGCCCCCTACTCTGCAGTCTCCATGAGAACACAGTCCATCTCCTCAACCCCCTCCACTGATGCTCGTCCCCACCAACCCTCAGCAACCCTCTCGTCAAAGTCTCAATACTTCCACTTTGCCAAATCTAAGGGTCACTTTTTGTCTTTCTCTGTCAAACTTTCTCTCTGACATAGACTTCCTTCTTAAAATACACTCTTCACTTGGTTTCAAGACCGCCTTAATATCCTGGTTTCTTCCTAATTCACCAAATAGCTACATCCCTTTGCTGCCTCTGCCTTTTCTTAGTGGTTAAATGTCAGTGTACCCTTGAGGTTTGTCCTTGGCTTTCTCTCTTCTCAGCATATTCTCCCTAGATAATCTCATCCCTTATCCGTGGTTGGCAAACTGCGGCTCACGAGCCACATGCGGCTCTTTGGCCCCTTGAGTGTGGCTCTTCCTAAGCCTTAGGAGTACCCTAATTAAGTTAATAACAATGTACCTACCTATATAGTGTAAGTTTAAAAAATTTGGCTCTCAAAAGAAATTTCAATCATTGTACTGTTGATATTTGGCTCTGTTGACTAATGAGTTTGCCAACCACTGCCTTAGATTTACACATGAGTCTATTGGGATAACTCCCAAATTTGTACCTTCAATCTTGACTTTCCCACTAACAATATGCCTCCAACTGCCTCCTCAACCTCTCCACTTGGATGTTTATTATCAGTTTATTGAGACTTTTCAATTCATCGGAGGCATGTAAACATGAAATCACTTCATGTTTTCCCATGGCTGCCCAATTATGCTGTCTGGATAGTCAAGAATCTTGGGATAGTTTAATCTCATTCTAGATTTCAAAATCTCAGTACTGTTTCTATTTAAATATGCTCTCAATGCCCAATTCTCTGTCTGGGACAGGAAATGTGTAAGATAGGCCTAAAACATCTTAAAATGCCAAAAAGCAAGAAATTGATCAAAGAATTTGGGGGCCATTCCAAAAGAATTCAGGACCAACTTGAAGAGTTTCCCTCTGTCTAAGCATAGAAACATTTGAACAGCAATAAAAAGTAAAAATGTCAGTGGATTAAATATCAAAATTATTAAATCTGTAAATTTAAATGAGACAAAAAAAAACACCTCTCAACTCATTTGTTGTATTAAGAGAATACTAGGAAACCAACCCAATATTTTAACAAATTGTAAATAATGAATAAATTTTCCATGTTTAAAATGAGCTTTGGGGTAACCAAGTAATTGATGAAGAGAAATTTCTCTTCATAGAAATACTCTAGTAATAAATGAAGGACTAAATTGGAATATTGGAACCTCTAATGAAATAATTGTTCTTGGCAATGACCATCAATGGCGGCCCAAAGAGAGACACCTATTGAAGAAAACATAGAAGAAGGGTTCCATGACATTGGATTTGGCAAGGATTTCTTGCATAAGACAAAATGCACAGGCAACAAAGGTAAAAATATACAAATTGGACTACAGCAAAACTAAAAACTTCTGTGCATCAAAGAACATAAACAGTGAAAACACAACCTATGGAATGGGAGCAAATATTTGAAAATCATATATTTGATAAGGTTTAAAATCATAATCTGATAAGACATCCAAAGATGATACACAAATGTCAAGAAACACATGAAAAGATGCTCAATATCACTCATCATTAGGAATATGCAAATCAAAACCGCAATGAGTTATCACTGAATAGCCATTGGGATGGCTGTTATAAAAAAAAAAATTCACCAGAAAATAACAAGTGTTGGCAAGAGATGTGGAGAAATTGGAACACTGTACACTGTTGGTGGTGTAGCCACTGTGGAAATGGTGCAGCCACTGTGGAAAACAGTATGGCAGTTCCCAGTTTTAAAAATAGACTTCCCATATGATCCAACAATTCTACTTCTAAGCATATAACTAAAATAATTAAAAGCAGGGTCTCAAAATTATATTTGTATACCCATAATTTTATAGTAGCATTATTTAAAAACTAGAAGTGACAGATAAACAGAGAAAATGTGGTATGTGCATACAAAGGAATATTATTCAGCCTAAAGAAGGAGGAAATTCTGACACATGTTACAACATGGATGAACCTTGAAGAAATTATGCTAAATGAAATAAGGCAGTCACAAAAAGACAAATCCTATATAATAAAGCCTAATATGCTAAGTGTCCAGTCGTCCGGTTGGCTGGTCTACCAATCAAAGCATAATATGCTAATGATATGCTAAGGCCGCTCAACCGCTCACCATGACGTGCACTGACCACCAAGGGGCAGATTCTCTGACCGATAGGTTAGCTTGCTGCTGGGGTCCCAACAATCAGAACTGAGTGAGATGGACCAGACACTCCCTGGAGCCCTCCTGCCATCCCTCCCCAGTTGACCAACCTCCTGTGTCCCTCCCCGGCCCCAGTCATGCACTGGTGGGGTCCCTTGGCCTGGCCTGTGCCCTCTCACAACCCAGGACCCCTTGGGGAATATAGGAGGCCAGGCCGAGAGACTCCACTGGTGCACAAAATCGTGCACCAGGCCTCTAGTAGTATATAATCCCATTTGTATGAGGTACCTAGAGCAGTCAAATTCATAGAGACAGAGAGTAGGGTATTGGTTGCCAGGGGCTGCGGGGAGGGGAAATGGAGAGTTGTTGTTTAATGGTCATAATAGCCCATTGGATTTATACAAACCTTTTCACACACAGGTTATCCTCAATGGAAGATACTTCCTAATATATATTTTACTTTTTGTAGTGTGGGGTCATACTTCATTGTACTTGTAAGAGAAAATGATCTTTTTATTCTCTGTATAGAAGCCTAGCTGTATAAAACTTAGCTCTAATGCAAAAATTAAAGAAACAAATGTAGGGAGAATGTCTCATCATCCTTAAGACTCAGCAGTTCTCATTCTCTGGGAGTGAACACACTGTTCTGCTGCTGTTGTCATTGAAATACAATGACGGTGGAAGTCACGAAAATGTCCCCTGTCCAGACCCCTTCCCCCCTCCCCCCGCCCCGTGTATATTACTCCTTTTACTCCTGAGAACCTCTTGTATGTTACTGTCTCATGATGTCGTTGCAAATGTGGTATGTGCTAGTTTAACTCGGCCCCTGTTTCCTTTCAGAACATGTTCCTCATCCTCCCGGTAGATGCATTGCAGTGTTCCTTCCTCAAGGCTTGGAAATCTCTCTCCCCTTTGCACTCAGGTTAGTTTTCAGGTCTGTCCCCCCTCTTTCCTTAAGATATCTTATATCCTAAGGACAGAACTGTAGGTACTTGAATTGGTTGGTTTCTTACTGTTACTACTTGTTTTGTCCCCTCCCTGTGACCAATGCTCATTCTTTAGGACCTTGTTTGTCGAACATGTTGGTTTTCCTTTCCCTGTTATTTATATAAAAATAAGTTATCAAAAGAATATTTTTAAAATCCAGTCTGTCTTAAAACTTGTTTACCTTGAAATTTCAGAATCTCAGTGTTTGAAAGTATTGAAGCACAAACATGTATTATCTCTCTACTGTTCTGCACTTGATTCTAATAAATAAATAAATCAGCACCCCACCCCCCAAAAAAGATTAAAAAGTTTTAGAGATTGTCTACAAAATACTGTGAATGTACTTAGCACTGCTAAAATGTGCACTTAAAAATAGTTAAAATAGTAAATTTTATTATGTATATGCTGTCCCAAAAATTTTATACACACTTTGAGTAATTATTGATTCAAATGGGTTAAATCTGAAAAGAAAGAAACATCAATTGAGTTATCGAAAAAAAGTGTGTATACATTTGTGGGGATACCCTGTGTATTTGCTACAATTAAAGACAGAAAGAGTGAGGAGAAAGAATTTCTTCTGAGGAGGAACATATCATCACCTATGGAATAGTTTTGCCAAAAAATTAAACCAATTTAAATCTGATAAAATCTCTGGATCTAACTATCAATTTAGAGAAAACACAGAGACAGAGGAACATGTTAAACAACATCACATGGAAGCAATCAGCAAAATCCAGACTGTGGGAAAGTCTATAGGAAAAAAACACACATTTCTTCAACAAATAAATTATAAGAATAAAAGGTAGTTGCAGGAGAAGCCATAGATTAAAAGTCTTAAAAGAGCCCTACCTGGTTTGGCTCAATGGGTAGAGCGTCAGCCTGTGGACTGAAGAGTCCCAGGTTCAATTCTGGTAAAGGGCACATGCCTGGGTTATGGGCTTAATCCCCAGTAGGGGGTGTGCAGGAGGCAGCCAATCAATGATTCTCCCTCATCATTGATATTTCTATCTCTCCCTCTTCCTTTCTTTCTGAAATCAATAAAAATATATTTTTTAAAAAAGTCTGAAAAGACATAAAACCCAATGCAATGTATGGAATTATTTGGATCTTTATTTAAATAAACCATAAAAAAGCATGACACAATCAGGAGATATTTTATATTATGCAGGAATCTAATAGTTATTTTTTTAAGTCTTTATCTTCTGGAGATATACACTAAAATATTTATGGATGAAATAGTATAATATCTGGCACTTGCTTCAAAGTTATTAGGGATGGGAAAGTTGGAGTGTGTAGGTGAAACAAGATTGGCTGTGGGTACATAATAATTGAAGCTGATTGAAGGAAGCACTGCACTATTCTTTCTGTTTTATGCTAGATACTTTCCATAATTAAAAGTTTTCCTTTTAAAATATGAACCTATATTCCACTCAAATCCATTCTCTTCTTCCCCCAGCAATTCAGGATAGAGGATGGGTCATGGTCTGCAAACACTTTCACTCTCCCCGTCTTGTACCTGGCCCCCTGGGTTGGGGCGGGAGGTGGAGCAGGGTGGGCAGCACATCCTTGCTGGGATGCCCAGGGTGAGAGGCAATTTCCTCTCTCTGGATTGCTGTAGCCTCTTCATACAGTTTGACCATTTCTGTGGGGAAGCAGGGGACTTGGTTGGATTGTCTGTAAGGAGGATTCTCTAAAAGGTTGGGGGCCTCTGAGGGGACCTTGCCGAAGGTGCAGCCCCTACCTTGACTTTTCCAAACAAGTCTGATCCCCTGGGGTGTTTTGCTAGAATCTCTATGTTTAGTCTTTAAAGACCTGACCTTATAGAAGCATGTGCTTTCTCGAGGATACTTGCCCTGCTGATTGTTTCTAGAGGTTAATTTGAGTTCAAGCTGTTACAATAAAAAGCCAATGAGGCAGGCGAACAGGACTGCTTTTATTACTGAAGTAAGTCCCTTAAACCTCTCTTTCACAGAAACCTGTGTCGGAGTAATCTGCTCATCCGTCGCTCAGAGTCTGCTGGTCAGCCCCGGCACTTTTCTGTGCAGGACTCACATGTGGAACACACCGATGGGTTGTCCAGATGAACCTTCAGATGGTCTTCCCAGGCATGGAGGTCAGTCCCCTCCACAGCTCCTAGGGTTGCCCCTGCCTGGAGGACAGCAACCTTGGATAGGGGATTTGAATATAGATTAAGTGTAGCCATCTACTGAGCTGTCTACAAAACCCATAGGAAATTCACATGTCCTTTTGGTGTCAAATGGAGGAACTGAAGGCTGCCCCGTTGTCACACCCTCTCTTGGCTGCCTCTCCCACCCCTTTGTCCACATCAGGGAGGCATCAGACGATGGCTGGGCAACTTGTAGACAAAAGACAGAACTGGGGTTGGGGTTGGGCACGTCCACTGTTTACAGTTGATTATCTTGGCATCTCTCTCTTTCATTTACTGAATGAGTAATTGAATGATTAAAAAAAAAAAATCTCCATATAAAATATGGCCACACTGAGCCTGCCAGTAAGTTCTTTTAGCCCAAGTCTGGATTTCATGTGGTATATGGAATTGGCAACTGGAGTGAGCTTGTTTATTTTCTTTAAATGATTCTGTGTTTCATAAAAGACTCTGTAATAATTAAGTATTTCAACTTCTTTGGGGTTTATTTTACATCTAGAAAGAGCTGTAATTATGCCTAGGAACATAAAGTTAATGTTAGACCATCAATGAAATACTTAAATAAATTTCCCATTCTGAAAGTGTTTTTCTAGCACAAAACAAAGACACAGCATGGAAGAGTCAAGAAACACAGATAGCAGAGCCCAAGTAAGGAGATAATGGCAGATGCCACAGATTAGCACAGGTGCAATGCTAAGTACTTATATGTGGCACCTCATATAGTCCCCACAGCAACCCTCTATGGCAGTGGTTCTCAACCTTCTGGCCCTTTAAATACAGTTCCTCATGTTGTGACCCAACCATAAAATTATTTTCGTTGCTACTTCATAACTGTAATGTTGCTACTGTTATGAATCATAATGTAAATATCTGATATGCAGGATGGTCTTAGGCGACCCCTGTGAAAGGGTCGTTTGACCGCCAAAGGCGTCGCGACCCACAGGTTGAGAACCGCTGCTCTATGGTATGCATTATTATCTCCAATGAGAGATGAGGCAACCAAAGCCCAGAGACGTTACGTTGGTAAATGAAAGAGCCAGGATTTAACTCCAGCTCCATTTGACTCCAAAAGTTGAGTTCTTAATTTTTATGTGTTATCTATAATAAGACACTAAGAATATTTACCTGGTTGGGAGGTAGACATACATATGATAGATAGATATAGATTACATATTTAACATTGAAATTAAAATTTATTGACCTTCTGAGATACAGGATTTGTGAAAAGCTTAGTCTATATAGTCATTAAATTCTTAGATATTTAACACTGCTTCCAATTTATCATAGGAACTACTTTCCAAAAAATGTTAATCATAGCTGGATGCAGAGAATTTGGGAAACATGCAGTGTTGTTTATGTAAGTTTTGAACATTATAAGTCTACTGAAGAGTGAATGGGATTTGCCTTTGTGGAATTTGAAACAAGAGAATGCAGCAACAGCTCAGATTGAGTAAGCTCAGATTTAAAAAAAAAAAAAAAGCAAATGTTATAAATAGCAACAAACTTTTTGGCAACCATTTCTGTTTCTTAACATCCACCAGAGGAAGCACCAGGAAAACCTGGTACATTCCCTAAGACAGTAAAAATAAATCCATTCCTGCCTAAGAGTAGCTGATGAGTTATTTATTTAACATTTTAGCAGATGGAGTTGAAATAAAATGAAACTCATGATAGCACTTAAGGAGAAAGGAAAAAGAAAAGTAAGAAATGAAGGGGGAAGAATATGTCCAGAGCCAGGGTCAAATATGGACACAAATAGCAAGAGCCCCTGTAAAACAAAAATATCCAAGACCACACCTAAGGGCTCTGAAATAGACAGTGCTGAACCCCAAAAGGAATTCTCAAAGAAAAATACAACATAAACGGGGAAGAGTTTAAGTATCCAGCTTACCTGAAGTCAGAACGGGGAAAGAGAAAGACAAATACTCTGAAGATGCAGAAAGCCTAGTTTCTGGACCAAAAGTAAAGACAATGGCTCAGATAAACAACATTGAAAAGGAGCTTCAGAAGTTTCCAAAGAAAACAAAGATGTGACTACTTTAAGGTTAGGATTAGATAAATAAGATTTCATTCTTTGCATAGCTATGAATGTTTAACTGGACTTTTAATTTCTCCAGATTTATAAGTCTCTACTAAAGAGGAAATAGGATACTGGAGATATAAAAGGTGGATCCCTCTTTGAAGCAAAAGGTAGCATAAGAAAAAGCAGAAAAAGAGACATAGAATGGGAGAAGAAGTTATAGCATTAGAAGGACTATCAAAGTAAGTAAATTGAATTGTTGGCAATTGATACACAGTCCAAGTTAAGCTGTATTTTAATAGCTATTAAATAGCTATTTAATAGCTTTACCTACAACTTGTTGTAGGTAAAGAAGATGAAACTATATGGTTTCAGATATTTGAAAGCCTAAGTTTTTAATATATGGGCAGATTTTATAATCCTGAAGATCATTTGCATTGGTATATGTATTTCCTGACATTATAGAAGAAGGTGGAGATGGAGGTTGAAGGAAAGCAACACACATCCTTATTGCCTAAATCTCAAATGCCTCAGTGCTACTTGCTGAGAGCACATCATGTACCAAGCAGGAAAGTAGAATGTAGAATGGCTTGGGGATTCCCCATGAGCCATTTTTAACCTAGAATTTGTTTGAAGAAAATTTAGAAGTCCCTAAATACATGCAATTCAGTCAAACTCCTTAGCTCCCTATATTCAAAAATATTTAAAACTATATCTCTTTTACATAAAAACCCAAGGGTAGTTATTTTCATTTGCTAGAAGGAACTATACATTTTATAATGCTTTATATGTTTGTCACAAGATGTAACATTTGGTGATATTAATTTTTTATTTTAAACATCTCTATATATATAAAAGCCTAAGTGACGGAACAACCAAATGACTCGCCAACCGGTCGCTATGATGCTCACTGACCACCAGGGGGCAGACGCTCAATGAAGGAGCTGCCCCCTGGTGGTCAGTGTGTTTCCAAACCAACCTCCCCCAGCCAGCCAACTTCCTGCAGTCCCTCCCTGCAGCCGGCCAACCTCCTGCAAGACAGCCCTGATCGGCCCCGATTGCTGGCCAGGCTGAGGGACCCCACCATGCACGAATTTGTGCACTGAGCCTCTAGTTTTTATATAAACGGCAAATTTCATTTCAACTTCAGGGAAAACATTTATATTTGGTATGTAAGACATTTTTTTTTTTTTTCAGTTGATCAGCAGCCTAGCCAGGATCTCTAGCCAGGATCTCCAGCCAAGTTCTGTCTTTTATTGTCTTGTTACATCTGTATTTATACCAGTTGATTTTAATCCTATCAATTTCTTTTCTTAATACATTTTTTATTGATTAAGATATTACATATGTGTCCTTATCCCCACGTTGCCCCCTACCCCCCCACCCCCGCTCATGCCCTCGCCCCTTCCCCTCCCCCCCGCCCCCCGTTGCCTGTGTCCATTGGTTAGGCCTATATGCTTGCATATAAGTCCTTTGGTTGATCTTTCCCCCTTACCCCCACCCTCCCCTACCTTCCCTCCAAGGCCCAACAGTCCAATCAAAGCCTCTCCGTCTCTGGATCAGTCCTTGTTCATCAGTTTATGTTGTTCATTATATTCCACAAATGAGTGAGATCATGTGGTATTTATCTGCTCTCCAGTTCCATCCATGCTGTGGCAAATGGTAAGAGTTACTTTCTCTTCTTCCTCTTCTTAAAGAATACCTTTCAGCATTTCATATAATGCTGGTTTGGTGGTGATGAACTCCTTTATCTTTTTCTAATCTGTGAAGCTCATTATCTGACCTTCTATTCTGAATGATAGCTTTGCTGGATAAAGTAATCTTGGTTGTAGGTTCTTGCTATTCATCACTTTGAATATTTCTTGCCACTCTCTTCTGGCCTGCATGGTTTCTGTTGAGAAATCAGCTGACAGTCGTATGGGTACTCCCTTGTAGGTAACTGACTGTCTTTCTCTTGCTGCTTTTAAGATTCTCTCTTTGTCTTTTGCTCTTGGCACTTTAATTATGATGTGTCTTGGTGTGGTCCTCTTTGGGTTCCTTTTGTTTGGGGTTCTCTGCGCTTCCTGGACTTGTAAGTCTATTTCTCTCACCAGGTAGGGGAAGTTTTCTGTCATTATTTCTTCAAATAGGTTTTCAATATCTTGCCCTCTCTCTTCTTCTGGTACCCCTATAATTCTGATGTTGGTATGCTTGAAGTTGTCCCAGAGGCTCCTTACACTATCTTCATATTTTTGGAATCTTTTTTCTTTTTTCTTTTTTGGTTGGGTATTTTTTGTTTCTTCGTATTTCAAATCTTTGACTTGATTCTTGGGATCCCCTGTCTGCTGTTGGATCTCTGTATATTATTCTTTATTTCAGTCAGTGTATGCTTAATTTCTAGTTGGTCTTTTTTCATATCCTCCAGGGTCTCACTAAATTTATCGGCGGTTTCCATAAAATTCTTGAAAAACCTTATAAACGTGGTTTTGAACTCTATATCCAGTCGTTTGCTTTCCTCCATTTCTGTCATTTGTGACCTGTTTCTTTGTCGCTGCATTTTTTATGCTTCCCTGTGTTGGTAGAGTGGTTTTGTGTGCTAGGTGTCCTGTAGGGCCCACTGGCTCAGCCTCCCCAGTTGCCTGAGGTGGACACTCTTGGTGCACCCCCTTGTGGGCTTTGTGCACAGTCTTGTTGTAGTTATGCCTTGATTGTTGTAGGATCACTGGGAGGAATTGACCTCCAGGCCAATTGGCAGTGAGAATCAGCTGTGTCTGCAGTGGGAGAACTTCTGTGCTGAGGACACCCTTCTGGGGCAAGACTTGCTTCAGTGGGGCTTTGGTGCTCACTGAGTCTGTGCCCTGAGTGTGTCCCTTATGGATCTGAGGAGTTGTAATCTGGATGGTCCCACTCTGACCACTGGGTACACTGGCTCCTGGATCTAAGGAGG